AACAGCCAGCCACGTCGTCAACACGGCTCTGGTTCCCCCACGTGGAACATTCCAGCTTCCACGGACCTGCTCCCCACGTGTCCGGCCCCAGCTTCACACCCCGTGCCAGGCGGCTCCGCTACTTAGCTTCCTGTTGATTCAAGAATCAAGTTTTTCTTCTTGACACCTTCCCGCGCATTGTCTAAAAGAAACATGTAGGTCTCGAGTTGTCAGCCTCTCTCCGCTTGTCCGTGCGGCCCTACCTCGTTCTGTGAACACCCGTGGTTTCTTCCACCTGTGGGCGGTCTGAGCCCGGCTCGCCCTCCCTGGTGGGTTTTCCTTCCGGTTGGCGCCTCCCATCCTGCTTCCTCGTCCTGACCTCGGCGTCTTCGATAATTCCCATCACAAGCCCATGTTCTGATCTGCAGACGAGTCTTCCCACCATGGGGGCAGCATCTCAGTTACAGCCTCCAGGGGAGCAGGGAAGCGTGTCGGCTTGTGTCACTTACAGTCCCAAGGCAGCCGGGAAAGGGCCTTTCTCCCCTCCTGGGTCAGTGCGTCTTCAGGCCGGCTCCCGGCACCCTGGCCCCGGGCACGTCCTCCCACTCACAGGGGGAGCACCCAGGGAACCCCACGGTGTCGTCTTGTTCCAGCAAAACCTCCAGGGCTTTGCCCCAAGCAGTTGGCAAGGTGCGCGGGGGCACCTCTCGGCTGCTGACCAGAGGCCGATGCCCTTACTCAAACCACAAGACAGAGGGAAAGAGCAAGTCTCCAAGGAAACCAGACCTTCTCAGGAAGCGAAAGGGACGGAGGGATGTCCACAGACCCGCAGGTGGGACACACGCCCTGCTGCATCCCTCGGGCCGCAGTGAGGTCCCTGCGGCGGCAGGTCCCGGGCTGAGGCCGAGGGCCCGGGAGCACAGGACCAGGCCCTGATGGTGAACCAAACACCGGGCTCAGTGCCTGGCGGGCTGAGGCGGTCAGACACCTGTGGCCCCGCGTGCGGACGCTCTTTAATGTCCTTGATAAATATTCGCGGACCCTCTGCCAGGTGGTGGAGAAACAGCAGAGGATGGAGCAGATGACCCCTGTCCTCGTGGACTTGATGCTCAAACAGGCCTCGTCTGAAGCTTGAACATGTTGCGACGGTCCCCTCTCTGCCATCCTCGGACAGTCCCTTCCTAACAAGGGCTCGGTGCAGGGACCGACGGGACCCGCTGTGCCTCAGGACAAATTATGTGACTACTTTTTTTTTTTTTAATGTGGCTAGAAATATTGATTTGGAAGGGATTCCCAGGGAGGCCGAATTTGCATTCAGACCCCTCCCTCCTGCTACAGCAGCGTTGGGACAGGGCCGGCCTGGTGAGCGGGGCTCCATCCCAGCCCTTCTCCCGTGAGATGCGCGGATTCGTATCTCATGAAGGTGACGCATGCTTACAGCAGGAAGTCTGGGGCATATTGGAAAATGGAACTAACCCGTAAACCCCCCACCCAGGGGAAACCTACTAGCATCATGGCGCAGTACCAGCCAGACTCTGTGTTCAACCTGTGTATATATGTCTGTTTGTTTTTATTATTAATTTATTTTTGTTACAGATGTTTCTCCTCCTCCCCCCATTGACATCCTCCTCCCATCCTCTGCCCCCCGCCCCCTCCCCAGCATTGTTGACTATGTCCCCTGGGTACGCATACACGCATGGACGTTTACGGGCTGATGACGCCTTTTATTCCCGCCGATGGTGCCGATGAGGCCAGCGACACGGAATCTCATCCGCGCGTTCGTTCATTCAGAGGCGCCTGCCGAACCCCACCGGGAGCCAGGAGGAGCACACCCCGCGAGGGAGAAACACCCCGTGTTAGCTCCCGTGGCTTCCGTGAAGGCGACCGCAGCTTGGCGGCTTAAAACATCCCCCGGGTATTTTCTGACAGTTCTGCTGGTCCGAGGTCTGAATGGGTTTCAGGACGGCAGCCACGCCCTCCTTCGAAGTGGGCAGAGGGGTGCCCGCTCGGGCCTTCCGCCTCTCCAGCTTCGTGCCCCTCACTCCCGGGCACGGCCCTCCCTGCACGGGGCCAGCGCCTGGCCTCAGAGCTGGGCCCTGGTTCACGCCGCCTCCTGCCTGCCTCTGTGGGCTTCCCAGGTGGAAACTCCCAGGTGAGCTACCAGCTCAGGGTCTTCAACTTCCCGACACCGGCCCAGTCCGTTCTGCTATTTAAGGTAAAATTCACAGGTTCCAGATTCTAGGGCCTAGGATCCTCGGGGGCAATTACTTAGCCTACCACACACACTCGTGAAATAATTTAAAAAGTATGTGATGAACAATAATGCCGCTTACTTAAAGGGGCCTTGGTGTGCTTATGCGATTGTTTAAATACTAAAATCAAGCAATGGAACTTTTAAACACTCATGATTTCAAAAGTGTTCCGGAATCGTAAGCTACGCCCGGACGGCTAGGATTCCGAGTGAAGGTTGCAGCCCGATCGGCAGGAAGCGCTCGGGGACTTGCAGAGTGATGGAAAAATCAGACAGGAGGGGCTGGACGCGAACCCCAGGTGCTGAGGTAGAGCGCAGGAGATTGAAAAGCCAACATCTTGAAGAGTGTCGTCGGGAACGTAGGAACGAACGAGTTAGCCTTTCAGAACGCATCAGAAGTCAGGTTTGGGAGACCAAAGATAGTATACATATACATAGAAATAGCACTTGATCATCGCACAAAATATAAATATAATTTTATGAACTAACGCAGTATCTGCAAGAAGGGTGCCAGCCACAAAATCTCTAAGACAACAGATTTAAAGCAATACTTTTTTTTTTATCCTCACCTGAGGACATTTTTGCACTCATCTTCAGTAGAGTGGGAGGGAGAGAGGGAGGAAGAGAGAGAAAGAAACATCGACATGAGAGAGACACATCGAGTGGCTGCCACCTGCACAACCCCAACTGGGGCCGGGGACAAACTGCAACCGAGGCACGTGCCCTTAGCGGGAACCGAACCTGGGTCTCTCTGGACCACAGGCCAATGCTCTAACCGCTGAGCCAAACCGGCCAGGGCCCTTTTTCTTTTTTGATTGTTGACTCTATACAGATGTTCCCAATTTGACCCCCCTTAGCTTCCCTCCATCCTGCCCCCATCCCTCCTTGGCCTTTACCACATTATTGTCTGTGTCCATGGTCTATGCATATATATTCTTTGGCTGATCTCTTCCAGTCCTTCCCATCCCCCTCCCTTCTGAAATCTATCAGTCTGATCCATTTATCCATGTCTCTGGTGCTATATTGTTGGTTAGTTTATTTCAGTCATTAGATTCCACATATAAGTGAGATCATGTGATATTTGTCTTTCTTTGATTGGCTTATTTCATTTAGCATAAGAGTCTCCAGGTCCATCCATGCTGTCTCAGAGAGTAAGATTTTCTTCTTTTTCACAGCTGCATAGTATTCCACTGTGTAAATGTACCACCGCTTTTTATCCATTCATCTACTAATGGGCATTTGGGCTGTTTCCAGATCTTGGCTATTATAAATAGTGCTGCTATAAACACAGGGATGCATATAGTTTTTCTGACTGGTGTTTCAGGATTCTTAGGTTGTATTCCTAGAAGTGGGATCACTGGGTCAAAAGGCATTGTCATTTTTAATTTTTTGAGGAAAGTCTATACAGTTTTCTACAGTGGCTGCACCAGTCTGTATTCCCACCTACAGTGTACTAGGGTTCCCTTTTCTCCACACCCTCACCAGCACTTGTTGTTTGATGATTTGTTGATGGTGGTCATTCTGGCAGGGGTGGGGTGAAGCCTCATTGTGGTTTTAATTTGCATCTCTCTAATGATTATAATGTGGAGCATTTTTTCATATGTCTTTTGGCCATCTGTATATCTTCTTTGGGAAAGTGTCTATTCAGGTCCTTTGCCCATTTTTAATTGGCTTGTTTGTCTTCATGGTGTTCTTTACATATTTACATGGAGTTCTTTACATATTTTGAAGATTAACCCTTTATTCAACGTATCATTAGTGAATATATTCTCCCACATGGCGGGTTCTTTTTTGGTTTGCTGGTGGTTTCTTTTGCTGTGCAGAAGCTTTATAGTCTGGTGTGGTCCCTTGTGTTTATTTTGCCCTGTGTTTCCATCGCCCTTGGAGACATACTGGCAAAAATATCACTACGAGCAATGCTATGTGTGTATATCATCCGCATCCGTACCTCTGGGGCAACATTTAGCTAAGATGATCTTGTTTGAATGCTACAGCCTAATAAAAAGGACCCGATCTGTTCCCTCACAAAGAAATTGTACACCAAGGAAATACAGTTATTTTTTTCCCCTTAGAATGAAGGAAAAGGGCATGTTGAACCATATTCAATTTGAATAAATAAAAATTAACAGACGAACTGGAAAATTTCTCAGGTTTGATATGTGTTCTGAGAACAATAATTTATTGTAATTGAATACACAAGGTATTTTAGACATACTATGCTGATTCAATATACATATTTAAAGGGAACAATGTCAATGCTAAATTTTTACAGGATGCTGAAACTGGAGCGTAGGAATAGATTCTTATTCACACACGGATAATTTGGGGGCACCTTGATGACTCTGTCTTTTTTAATCTATTGACAAAAAAAATATGGTCGTTATCACTTTACTTTGAATCTTTGTTACGGAGTCGGAAGGACACAGTGACTTGGAATAAATATGACTGTAGCACTCTGGCCACTGGATTCTCAGTGGAAAACGTGTCTTTATTTATACGGCTTTCTGCTTCTAATGTTTGATTTCTGCATATTCGAGCATTCTCGTGGATTTTAAGATCAGCATATCTTTCCATTTCCTGGTGTTGCTACTAAGTAATTGGCCCTTTCAATTACTATGTTTCTGGCCTGTAGGTTGTTGTTTGTTCTGTGTTTCTCCCAAAAGATTACTGCTGTTGTGAACACATGGGACTCGGCAGCGGCCACGTCACAGCTGGCGGGGGCGGGGCGGCATGACAGGAGCTGGGAGGCTCTGATACCCCGATGACCTACCGGCGTCCAGCCCAGGACGACCCACGCAGGTGAGCTTGGCGACAGAGCACAGCACCTTCACAGACCGTGGCTGGTCATTCCCAGAGGAGGCACCGCTATTCCCTCTGCTCCCTCCATGACCCTTTACAGTGTGGCTTTGCACCTCGATCATGAGACCCCGGAGTCCCGACTGGTCATCGGACTGCACTGGTGTAAAGGACACAGCCGGAATGACACTGCTGGTTACGAGTGTCGACAGCAAGAAACCTGGCACAGGTCTGATTTCTGCTGGAGCCCCACGCAGGCACCGTGGGAAGGAGCTCAGAGGAGACCCGGGACCAGGGCGGTGAAGCCCAGTCACTGTCTCCGCTGAGCATGTCCTAGACCAGCCGGTCTCAGAGCATCCAAGAGCTGACCACAGACGCAATGCACCCGAACCAAACCAAGAGCACAGTCCAGTTGATCCCATTGGAAGTTGTCAATTTACAGACTTGTAACCTAACTATGTGGTTATCTGTTATTGTGGTCTGTGCGGATACCACATTCGGGTGGTTTGTACAAAGCAAAAGCTAACTGATAGACAGTAACATATTTAGCTTGAATAAATCAATGTATCATTGAAATGAAAAGATAAAATGTGAAAGTTAATTTAGTTCTGATGTAACATCCTATGTCACTCTTTCTTCTATATCAATATAGCTTCTTTACCACACCAAATGTTAAATGTGTGGGAAAATATACATTGCCATTTTAATTTCTTTTGTTTTATTTATTTTTTTATCCTCACCCGATGACATTTTTCCATTTTTTGTTCAGATAGAGTGGGAGGGAGAGAGAGGAAGAGAGAGGAAGAGAGAGGAAGAGAGAGGAAGAGAGAAACATCGACGTGAAAAGGACACATCGAGTGGCTGCCACCTGCACGACCAACCAGGGCCGGGGACAAACTGCAAGCGAGGTATGTGCCCTGAGTGGGAACCGAACCCGGTTCTCTCTGGACCGCAGGCTGACGCTCTAACCACTGAGCCAAACCGGCCAGGGTGCAATTTTAATTTCTTAAAGAATTCACTGTAAAGGAAATAAAGAGGATCTATTCTTCATTGCTTATTGATGACAAGATCATTTAATCATAGTCCTTTCTATGAAAATTTAATATTTGATAATTTATAATTAAAATAATCTTAGTTCTGTTTAAAAACAGCACTTGATACATTTTTAAAGCATTAAACACCCTGCATTAGCCATGGAGAGTACCTTTAAAATTTTATCACTAAGTCATTCAAATAACAAAGTATTATACAATTGAACTGTGTCACCTGTAGAAAAATATAAACCACCAATAGCTCATCAATCAGAATTGATAATAATAGCACACTTTACCTGCACAAGCGTTTATGAGTGGCAGCAGAATTACCAGTTTCCATAGCAACCTCATTTCCACTTTCTAAAGAGGAAGTTTCTCCATACAATCAGCAGGGGAGTCTGCCTTCCAGTCAGCGTCTCCGGGGTCTGAAAGAAACAAAACCGTCGTGGAATGACAACCACACAAACGCATACACGCATGCTTTGAGATGCTTGTGTATTGTTGCATTTTCATTTAATGTTAAAATTTCATTATCCAAAATAAAGCAACTCTAGTTCTATGTTTTACATATATGTGTATTTCGCCAAGTTTCATGACTCCCACCACAGGTACACGTTTCATGTGCTGTTGTATTTTCTACCGCAGCTAGTGGATTGGAATGGTTATACCGGATGCAGTCCATGCGGATCAAAACTTTCTTTGGAATAATTTTAAGTCCATGGTTTTGGAAAATGTTAAAGAAAATTAAAAACATATTAAACAAACTCCTGCCATTCTGTTGTTGGCTTCTATTTTTTATTTTACACCACTAAAAATGAGATAAAAATATTCCATATATATAGTGATTTCATACATATCATGGCTTATTCAATATTTTTATCAACATAAATGAAAAAATCAATAGTGTTTTTATCAGTGTTGTTGGCGATATGTTCATTAGAAAACATTAAACCTATTAACCAATGTCACCCCAATACATTTAATAAACAAAAAAATAAATAAAAATACCTTTTTGATTTTTATATACAAAAATATTACCTTTCTTAATATATTATGTAATTTATTATATGAGAATAGGATACAATATATCATAGATGTACAATATGCTCATTAGAAAACATTACTTTTCCTAATGTTGCTAGAAGTAAAATTACTATAATGCTACAAAATTGCCTCAGGACATTGACTTCTGAAAGTGTTCTCTTTCAAGTAAGAACATACTGTTCCTATGGGATTACATCATAATTTTCTCTAATTTATTTTGACATTTATACTTTCCAATGATAAATGAATTCCAGGTTCATCAATCTCGTGATCTCAAAAAACATGGAATAAACTCAGAATGAACTCACCTGGGTCATACGTGACCAAATCATTCTGTGTCAACTGCTAGGATCCTTTGGGGACTTTAAATTTAGCGGAAATTTTTCTTGCAGCTTCAAATACTTTTTGGAAGCATGTGGATTTTAAATGTGAAACTAGTAAGTAATGACATTTTGATCATTTCCAGATATATTTCTAAATTTTAATAACCTTTCATTTCTTTCTGGTACCAGTTCCTCCAGCTTAAACCAAAAGCAATGACCCCACTGAACTTTAAGTGTTGATGATGTCCAAGTTTAAAGCTTCCCAATTTAAGCAAGGAATGAAAATCAAAGACAAAACTAGCAATACGCAGGAGGAGAGGCTGCCATGCACGAGTCGACGTTGTCCCAATTCTCTCGTGTTTCATGTTGCCTTTCCATTCCATTCGGCACCAAAGACTCAGCTCCTTACATTTAAATTCTACAGAGTCGTTCATTTATCATTTTTCCAGCAAATGCTCATGGATGCATGTATGTATGTATTTATATTCATTTTCTGCAAGGCATTCGAAGTGTAGGCGTTAGAGGTGAACCTAAAACTCCTCAATTCTACTCTTGAGATCTTGCTATTTTATGAGAGACACAGACATTTACACACACACACACACACACACACACAGTGAAATAGTTATATGAGATAAATGCACTGATGCATTGAAGAAAAAGCAGTGGTTATCTGTGGGGGTCCTGAAGACAACCGTGGTTATCTGTGGGGGTTCCTAGGACTCCAGAGCAGACTGACGTGATGCCGACCCCCAGACCTGAGGCCGACTCCTTGAGGTCCGCCTTGGCCGAAGTTCCCATCACGGGGCCCGGGTGCCCCTTCCCACCCGGAAGAGCCATCGGTACGTGGGACGTGCTCATGACCCTTGTTGCCACGAGCAACGCGCAGCTCACGGTTATTCTGTGGGGTGGGCTTGGTTGGGATCTGGCAGCCACGCCGCCGGGTATGACGAGGGCGAAGGTGGGGTGGGAACCCCGAGACTCGCCTCCTTCTACTGTCTTTCTCTGAACCAGCTGAGGAGCACGGGCTGGTTCATTCATAACCATCTCGAGTAAAACGGAAGGGTTCCACCTGGAGCTGAGCTTTAAGTTCCTCCCAGCGCTAATGCACCAAGATCGTTTGGTTCGACCCAGTGCATGGGTTCGTGGCGAACGCTGCCCTTCGTCATCTGCTGGCTCCTTCGGGTCCCGTCGAGGACGAAGCCCAGGACGCGTGTCACGGGCCGTGCTCGGAAGGGGAGCCTCCGTGACTCACGTGTGTGCATGTTGCCATTCGTAACAGTCCCATGTTTTAAAAGTGTACGTTGCCCGAGGAAGAAAGGGAAACAGTCTGGCGCAGTGAGCGCCACCCAGAGGAGAAGAGTCGAGTTACGTGCTCACAGCCAAGCGGGGTCCAAACACGCAGTGAGGGAAACCGTATGCGGGTCACGGACCCTCAAAGTAGCCGCAGGAATCATTCCCAGGTCCCTAGAATCCTAAAGGTCACTCACAGCGAAGTCAACGAGGTCAGGATGTAAACGCAAAAGAACTTCCAGAATCCCTCAGAGCCGTTTCAACCACGCGGCACCAGCACTTGGTCTTAGCCGAGGTCTCCGGCCCACGCAAGCTTTTACAGACCATTCTGGCCCCGGGGAGTGGGTGTCTCCGTCAACCTCTCGGTTCCCTTTAAAGGTGACGGTCACTGTTCCATTACCACCGGACAGACATCGTCCCGCTAGACCTGTGCGTCTCCCTCCTTCTCAGGAAATTTCTTGATGCAGAAGGAACCGTTTCAAACCCTTCCACACAGGCAGAGGTACTGCTCCCCCCTCTCTTTCTGGCAATTCCCAGATATATATTTTTAAGTCTCTGAGATTTGAAATACCTTTATTGGTTGGGTGGCACATCCACTTGGTGGTCAAACCTGTCCTGCATTTACGTGACGTTTGTTCAACTCAGTGTGCACGGTTCTGCTTTTCTTTTAGCCAAAAATGTTGGTTCACGGTAGGGCCGTCACCCACTGAAGGCGTAACCCAGGTACACACTGGTCTGCACTAAGGTTCCCCCTGAAGTCCAAGCGGGGGGCCAGCACCTGCAGACTGCCGACCGGACGCCGTCCTCGCCCTGATCTGAGTGCAGCGGAACCCAGTGCGACGCTGTCCCTGTGCAGTCCAGGCCGCGGGCGCTAGGAGGCACGATGAAGACCGTGGCTCTCTGACCCGAACAGGGCAGACCTTCGGGGACCTCTGTCGATGATCCCTGGTGTGGCGTCTCACACACCCTGGCTGCATGATTACAGGTGAAGGATGGAGGAACTGGGTTCTCTAAACCAGGGATGCTCAGCAAAAATACTGCGTGTTTAGCAGAAAATATGGGTCCCGTGTTCTGTGTGTCCTGCTTTAGTTAAAGCATTTTTTTCTTTATTGATTTTAGATAGAGAGGAAGGGAGAGAGAGAAACACTGATGAGAGAGAACATCGATTGACCGCCTCCTGCACGCCCCCCACTGGGGATCAGGCCCACAACCTGGGCATGTGCCCCGACCGGGAATCGAACCAGCAACTTCTTGGTGCAGGGTCGACTCTCAACCTCTGAGCCACACCGGCCGGGTGAGTGTCCTGCTTTAAAATGACCTCCTCGAACTCTGTGTCCTTGGAGAGCACCTGACCCCGGAAGGCCAGTGGGAGAAGAATTCAGAGATGACTCCTGTGTCGGCGAGGTCATACCCTACACCAATCATTCTCAACCCAGACAACACTAACAACGTCTTTGGGTCAGATTAATCAATATTTTAGAAATGGAAGGTCATCCCTCCACGTATCTCCTGGCCATAAAGACGCTTGACAGGTAGCCCCGCTGTCTTCTGTCCATGGGATAGAAATCCAGGCTCAGCCCTGGCCGTTGTGGCTCAGCCCTGGCCGTTGTGGCTCCGCGGTTAGAGCGTCGGCCCGCGGACCAGCTGCTCCGTGGCTCTACGACAGAGGTCCCAACCTTCCTGATGCGGGACCCTGTCATCCACTCCTCATGTTGCCTGTGGGTGTATCTGTGTGTGGGCGACGCGCCTGGAGGCGGACAGAGGGCAGTGTCTCCGTTCCTAAGACCGTCGGAAATATGTGTTTTGCGATGGTCTTAGACAATCCCTGTGAAAGGGTCGGTCAAGCCCCAAAGGAGTCACAACCGGCAGGTTGAGAACCGCTGCTCCGAGGGCGGAAGGATGAGGCCGTGGAGAGGGACGCACTTGCCCCTCTGTTTCCTCTCGTGCTAAAAGCAACACCAGCAGGACACGGAGAGAGGTGCGGCCAGTGCTCTGTGGGCTCTTCCTCCCCCGGCCCCTCTCTCCCTGCGCTCAGAGCAGGGGCCGCACCTGTTCCAGTGGCCTCCTTCTCCCACGGCCAAAGTGAGAAACCGCTTCAGAGAGCAAGGGGAAGAAACAGGTGTGATCTGCCATCCACCCGAGCTCTGTGGGCAGCAGGCCTGAGCGGGCGCGGTTCTCCATCACCCCGGCTGGGGTCTCCTAGCTATGAAGAGCCTCGGGGGAGAGAACTGGACAAGAACAACTTCCCACGCTGTCCTCGTCGCTCGATGTGATGGTGGGTTCCCCCCCATGTCCTCTGTGGAGGTGAGGCTGGGGAGCACCAGCTAGGATGCTTCGCGGACCCTTTCCAAGGTGTCATCCGAGCTGTCCACGCTCGTCCCCCCCAGTTCCCAGGGACAAGCGGGAAGCTCTCTTACAGACGGAAATGGACAGAGACGTCCTCTCTGCCCTGGACCCCCCACTGTGCCCCGGGTCTGCCAGGCACACCCCAGTGAAGTGGGAACCCCTGCTGGAGTGCCAGCTTTCTGGGGTCCAGCCAACACGGGGCCTCCCTCGTTATCCCTGACTTACGGCCAAGAGTGAAGTGTCAGGCGGCTCCTCCCGGTCAGGCCGGTGCCCTGGAGGGACCTGGGCCGGACGCAGAGCCCTGCCCGAGGGGCCGCCCTACATCGTGCCCTCTGCACCTGTGACCCTGGCCCCTCCCTCAGTGTCGCTCAGTCCCCGAGAGCCAGGTCTCCCGACTGAGGTGCAGGGAGCCGTGTCTCCGAAAGGCTGACGGGGCCCCCGGGACCGAGGACAAGGGCGCAGGGGGCGAGACTGCACCTCCAGGGGCTGTGATGTGGACCCTCTGCTAGGAAAGGCGACGCGTAGGCTTGTCATTCCGGCAGAGTGCAGCCCACCAGCCTTGGTGCAGAGAGGGGAGCGCCCGTCCTGGGGGGCGGTGCCGGGCGTGGGGAGGGGTGCTGGGCGTGGGGGGCGGTGCCTGTCCTGGGGGGCGGTGCTGGGCGTGGGGGGCGGTACCGGGCGTGGGGGGCGGTGCCGGGCTTGGGGAGCGGTGCTGGGCATGAGCTCTTCTTGCAGACCAGGGCCTGGCCGGGCAGCACAGTCCACACCCGCTGACGAGCGCCTGGGCTAAGACTCTTCATTTTTTCCTTTAATGACTTTAGAGAGAGAGGAAGGGAGAGGGAGAGAGATAGAAACACCGGCCCCCACTGGGGATCGGGTTCACAACCTGGGCATGTGTCCTGACCAGGAATCGAATCAGTGACCCCTTGGTCCATGGGTCAGTGCTCAACCCCTGAGCCACACCACTGGGCAGATTCCTCTTCGGGCCCGGCAGCTTCAGTTCCCAGCAGGAGCTGATGGAGAGGGGTGTGGGGTGCTGGCAGGTGCTCAGGCCAAGGGGCAGGTGCTCTGCAAAGGACCAGACAGCTGCCCCTCAGCTCCGTGGGGTCAGCCTCTGAGCCCCACCCCACTCAGGGTTTTGGTGGCGCAGACGCAGCGTAGACAAGATGGTGTAGACCAGTGGTTCTCAACCTTCCGAACGCTGTGACCCTGTAATACATTCCTCACGTTGTCTGTGGGCGTGTCTGCGTGTGGGCGGACCCGCCTGGACACGGATGGAGGAGCAGTGTCTCGGTTCCTAAGACCATCAGGAATATGTGTTTTCCGAAGGTTTTAGGTGACCCCTGTGAAATGGTCATTTGACCCCCAAAGGGGTCGTGACCCACAGGTTGAGAACAGCTGGTGTAGACAGAGGTGCTGTTCTCAGAACTCGATTCACACAGAAGCAGCCGGGGTGGAATGTCATCCAACCCGCAGTGGCCAACCCCGGGGCTGCAGGGCGGCCTGGACAGAAGTCCCGGTCATCCTCTGCGGCCGCCTCGCTGATTACTCCCCGGGAGCACGGCCGGCGAGGGCCCAAGACGTCGGACAGCAGACGCAGGAGGCTCGGACCCCGGGAGGGCGTACGGGCCGCGAGGCCAGGCCCCTCGCCAACGCCCGCAGGTTCTTCTTTCACAACGTTGGCGTCTCCACGTATTTCAAATTTTTAAAAATGAATAAATAAAATGAGAATCGTCACAGCAGAAGATCCTATTCGAACACGTACGTGTGTGAAAATGCTTTGCTTTGGGGGAGGATGAACCGACGCCCGGGGCGTGTGGGAGCAGAGGAACCGCCCGCGTGTCTCTTCATATGCTCAATACGAGTGTCGGGGGGGCACGCGGCCTCTTCCTGCCGGGCGGCGTGTGTCGAATTAACGGGAGCGAACGGTCTAGGCCGGAGCGGCACCGAACCTGGTATCACGGCGCTTAATCAGAACGTGCTGTGTTGCGAGTGGGGTTGCAGCTCTGACCCCTTGACTCGTGCCGATTGGGAGTGCATCAGGGAAAGGGATTTTAGGTCCGTTCGAGTCAGAAAAAAACAAGACCCGGCGACCTTAGGCCGACAGTCAAGACTTGCTCGTCTTCGGACAGTTGCCCAAACGCGAGGTCCCCAGCTTCCAGGGACACGGGCGTGGTGGCCGGAACAGGGGTGCTCCGGGG